ATTGCCAGCTTAATTTCAAGAAACATTTGCCCTAGACTATTGTAATCCATACTAATTATCACATAGTGAATGTTTTAATACTTTTAAAATAAAGTTTTATTTTTTTAATTTGTTTAGGTTTTGATATGGATAGAGAACTAGATGACATTGTAATATTTAACTTCACCTCCAGTGAATGGCAAGTGATAAAGCCAAACTCAAAAATCCAACCAGTAAGTATACTTGTTTCCTAAAGAAATATTGACATGTCTGATAAAAAAAAAATGTATTTTATATACCAACAATGTTGTAAAACTTATTAAACTGAATAATTAGGCAGGCGTTAAGCAGTTTTTTTACTTCTCTTTTTTTTGCCAAAATACAGGTTGGGCGACGTTCTCATTCAGTAGTGTTGTACCAGGATGAACTAATCGTCTTTGGAGGTCTGCTAAATAATGTTTCATACTCCAACGAGTTGTGGTCATTTGACATATCAACTTTAGAATGGCAGCTGTTGGGAGCAGGATCTGATTCTATTCCAGTCCCAAGAGCTGATCACTCCGCATCTATTGTTGAATATTCAGCTCTATATATATTTGGAGGTAACCATTACAATTTCATCTCTAGATGTGTATTAAGCTTTATCTAAATTTTTTGATCCACAATCACATTTAGTAAAATAATGATTGTTTTGTTTCTGCAGTCTGCTTAAATTGAATAGCACTTTGCAAATGGTAAATTATTGTATAGTTTTTAAACACACCCTTAGTCAACAATTTATTCTGGATCTGGATGAGTACTCCTCAACGCCCCTAAATGGAGCAAAGTGCGAAGGGGTTTTTCAGTTGGTTTTCCCATATTACTTGTGCTCACATGTACTAAGGGAAGCCAGTCAAATGATGTGTCATACTGTATTTTATTAGAGCATTAGAAAACAATGTTAATGGTCATGTTATTGATGAAAGTCTTCTTATTTTTCAACAGGACATTCTGTGGGTGAGAACTTTCTTGGGGATTTGTACAAATATGATCTTGTCCTTCGGATTGGCTGGACTCTGATCCAGCCTCTTGGTGGTTTAGAGTATGATGTACGCGTTTCAGCCCATAGCAGTGTTTACCATTATGATTCCAAGTCTCTCATAATCTTTGGCGGATTTCGACCGAAAAGGCTCAAGTAAGAATCCTATTTTATTAGCCATGTTTCCAGATATATCTCTCATGTTTTAGGGTTGGTAATATTGCTTGTGTTTTCTTTTTATCCACTAAGGTTTTATTGTTGATTAAATACAATGTTTGTCTTTTAGAGTGACAACTAGAACAAATGAAACATATGCTTTTCATATTGAAAAATTATATTGGATGGAATGGGAAAACAGTGTTAAGAGGGCCCCGCGTGAGCGAGCATTTCATACAGCTGTTATTATGGGAAATTACATGGTAGTGTATGGTATGTAATGTTTCACTTATAAAAGTCATATTTTAAAGTGTTTTCTATATTTGTATCGTTTTTTTGACTTACAATAGAAAGTTTGAATGAGAAGCATATTTGTCTGTCAATTACTTGCCTGTCAATTAATGGATATTTATATAATACTTTTCCTGTATTATTTTGCATAGACCCTTAAATTGGCTTGTAATCAATTTACCAGTAGGGATATTTGTAGTAAAATATCTGTAAATTAGTAAAAAGTATTTTAATCAATCTGTTCTGGTTGGAAGGTTATTAATTTATTTGGTGTCATGCATTCCTACTTGACGTATTTCCGAGCGGCGTATAAATGACCAGGAATCCTTCTTTGACATATAAATATAAACACAGCTCACAATGTTGTAACACAACTCTCAAATAAACTTTTATTCTGTATAAACTCAAACAAGAATCCGGTATAAAAAAAAACAGAAAAAGCATTCACATTAACATGTGTTTCAAAAAGACCTCCAGAAAGATAAAACTGTCAGCTTATATACCCTAGCTTTACGACTCCAAGAGCATTCAAGCACATTCTATATTGCCTAAGTTCCTCATTGGTCACCTTACATCATAATTAACCAATAATCTTATTGCCTCTACAGTACCCAAGATTCCAGAAACTTTCAAATATTACTCTTGGATTCTACATGCTGTCATATGTTCCAATAATTACCAATGTGGTTTACACTTGTTTGTTTGGTCAAATAAATGCAATTCTAGAATTTTCTATGTAATAAATATGTTACAATAAGGAAAGGAATGATGATTTATTAAATTTGGACTTCTTAAATAAGCTATTCAACATTGAAATTTAATCTGTTCAGGTTTTCCTGATTTTGTTGGCAGGAGGTACTGTATCAAGAATAATCAACAATAGTTCTAAGAAATTCTAATCTAATGTAGGGATTTTAACATATATTTTTGTTTCATATCACTGATTGACTGTGTTCACATGTGTATGTTTGGTCATTTCACTGATTGGCTGTTCCGCTGTGTTTAAATGTATATTTGGTTTA